ACTTGTTTTGAAACTGTTCGTTAGAAATTATAAATGTGTGGCCCCCTCGCCCCCCCCCCCCAAAAAAAAATGGCAGACATTTTCTGATCATAGGGGCTTGAAACCTGAACTTCTTGAAAGTCTTGTCAGAGCCGTGTAGAGGGTAGTGATGATAGAGTAGTCGTATTACATGTCATTCTATAAAGCAGAAGCTCAGTTGTAAGACGGATTTTTTCATATACTTGCGTGTGATGATATTTCGTAGCCGACAGTAATAGAGAATGATAGAGAGGGGTTAAACGAGCTTATTTACGGATCACATTGGTGACTCTTTCATTCAACCCATCCTCTTCCCGGTGAGATGAGACTGCAGTCAGGGGAGCCAACCCCACCGCTGCAACCCTCTAATTAACAAATTCTGTAGTTATGCTTCCTTTAACCGAGATTGCGATAACACTCTAGACTTGTAACTGAGGAGGTTTTCGATTTGAATCTTGAACAGGGCATCGGCCATCCTAATGGGTGTTTCGTGGTTTTCCTCAGTCCTTTGAGGCAAAAATCTGGATGGTTTCTCCTTCCAGATCTTCAGTTATTCATGGTACCATTCCACGTTGTGCAGTTTGGGTGGTTTCGGTGTCGCAAGATAAAGCAAACAAAAAAAAAACGCCAATTAGCTACACAGGACCACGTACTGCGCGCATGATGCTGGGAATTTTAGAACCATCATTCAACTCACTGTTCGAAATATACAATGGATCTTTGAAATCAATGGTCGGATCTGTCCGGTCGCCATGTAGCACGCATGGGGAGAAGAGGAATGCATGCAGGGTTTTGGTGGGAAAGCTGGAACGAAAGGGAACCCTAGGACGGCCCAGACGTAGGTGAGAGGTTAATATTAAAATGAGTCTTAGAGAAATAGGATGGGGTGATATGGACTGGATTCATCTGGCTCAGAGATGGAGACTGGTAGAGGGCTTATGTGAACACGGCAGTGAACTTTCGTTTTGTAAAATATTGAAAAATTCTTCGAGTAGTTGAGCGACTGGTGGCTTCTCAAGGACTCGGCTCCTTGGAGGTAGGTAAGTCGAGAACGTCATATCTCTGGGCCGCAGTTCGAGTGTCGTTTATGCGTGTTTTGTTTAACGACGCTTTCATTGTTGAGGCTATATAGCATCGGGTGATAACGTTGACCAATGAGTGATGAATTGGAAATTATATGAAAAGAAGCGATCGTGACCGGCTCGAAGTCAACCGACATTTCGGAGAAACATGTCGCCTCCATATTCAGGGTCGAAGAGTTAGGGCGAGAACACACAAGGAAACAGGCAACCGTAATTTCCGAGAATATCACCGATTTCGAGCAAGCAACTGGTTTCCAGATTAGCAGGCGCACACTTAGGAAACTTATGTTTGATTAGATTCTCACATTATCTTAAGTGGGTATATTCGTCCGACGTAATGCATGATTGTATTTTTTTAATTTCGTGCCCTTCTTCAATGAAAGAAAATAATACTGATCCTGTCATAATATGTCGGTAGTTGAGACCGGTTGAGACGGTGTGAGAAGAGAGGACGACGACCATGAGGAAAATATTGGGAGGTTAATTTGTTTTAATTAGGGTCAATTTATTTTAACCAGGAAGTATCGCGTTCACGCGCGATACGAAATTTTGACATACAATGCAACAATTTCAGCAGGATAGAAGACACCTGATGATGGCCGTATACAGCCGAACCATGTACTGTGGAAGAAGGTTGACTGTGTAATAAGTTGCATTTAAGACTGAAATATATGTGAAATAAATGATATGTTAATGGGACAGGATGCTTAAATACAATATTAAGAAAAGAAAACATTGGGTGCACCCGTTCTTAAATGACAATTTAAACTGATGTGCTTATATTGTTTCGAAAGAACATAACCGGGACCCAGACTCCTTCGACTCATGAGCAATTCTTTGCTAAGCCAAATATATTTTGTCCCGCTTAGCATAGTCTGGGTGGCGTTTTGTCATATAAACCAGACTGTTGATCAATTAACTTCATAAAAACAAAATTAGCAGCTTCGTCATCCTTTAGTGTCACCATAACAAACAAATGAATCATGAAGCGCGTTACAAAACGGCTGACGCTAGGAAACCACGCGGCAACGGAATTGTGAGAAGACTAGCATGCTCCGTTGCCTGGAAATTGAGTTTCTCAGTCTCTCCGCGACTTGCATTGCCGTTTGCGCTGCTCCATGTGTTCAAATCAGGCTGATAACAGTTCTCGGAAATTGCGGTTGCCAATTTTCTTGGTGTACCCTCGTCCAAATAGAAGAGAAAATTACAAAAATTGATAGTGACACCAGTTCTAATATCCATTTTATACTTGAATCAAGCTCATCGGTATCATCAGAAGGCAACGAAGAAGGCATTTCGGAATCGTCACATGACTTGAATCAGCCAGGATTTTCTGAAACGTCGTGATTCCACCATTCTATCATTTGTCGCCTGCCCTGCATTCTGAAACAGCCTCAACCCAGCCGAGTACCTGGAGCAGTTTATAGCCCTCGACCTTGTACAGACAATAGTAGACCAAACTGATTTGTATGCGCAGCGGAAAATTGCAACAGAGTTGCCCAAACCAGGTACAAAACATCCCCGTAGTGTGCAGTGGCGGCCCGTTAAAATTACAAATAGCCTATCAAGAAATGTCTCGAGTTCCTGATATTTGCTGGAATGATTCGCACTTCACGAGACATACTCCTCATTCCAGTATTTTCATTGTATATAGAAACACAGATCGTGTCCACAAAATCCTGTTCTGGAAACTCTCAGAACTTTATCTTCAGGTACGCAGACGTATAGAGGTGCCCATGCTGTCGGGTGTACATTCGAGTGGGCCGGGTTGCATTTGTCGCATACATATTTGTGATGGGAAGTGCTGACCCCTTTGGTGACATAGTTGCAGCCTTTTGAAGGGAAGGGCTACCATGTTTATCAGGACAGTAATTAAAACAGTGTCCAAATTACAGAAGCCGCTCTATACAAGAACGTCAAGATTGTAGAACTATCCGTTCCAATCGTGGTTTTCTGAAGGACATGATTGAAGATTCAGAAAATCCGGGGAGTTCACTTTTCCGTGTAAACAAGCCGTAATTTTCCTCAGCTTTAAGGATAGGCTACTATAGTAAATGACAGGGAACAGGTCAAAATAGCACGCATATCAAACATGTAGTCAGAATGCATCATTCATCATAAAACCTATGCACACGGCGTGTAATTTGCTAATCAGTATGTTTCTTGTTATGCCGTAACACGAAAGATTGTGCAGTGGCCGAAGAAAGTGTTCTTTTATCTTCTGTAGCTGCTCTGTTCGTTTCATCACGTACTCCACACCCTCACCGCCATCTGTGAGTCGATTGTCTAGAAAATGTGGGAGCCTCGACGTCTCACAACCCTATGGGCCGCCACGGCCTGTTACAGGGATAGCTTTACCTTTTTACCTAAGTGCACGCCAAACAGATATTCAAGCAAAAGCTTTCTGTGCTATGTAACTTACAATAGTAAGACACTAATCGTTGGAGATAGTGACGCAGTTTCCTCGTCTTCTGACGAACCTGACGTTTCGACAACACCAGTTGTACAAACGCCATCAAAATAGGCACTTAAAAATACCTGGTATGTCAACTGCTGAGAAAAATAAAAGACCACAAAGTATTCCAAATCGACGCCGTGAACAGTAATAAAAATTGGACACAACATTGCAGGGTTTGTCTGAAAGAAGCATCAGGATGACACGAGATTTCTGTGTGCGCTTTGTGGTGTGCCTCTGCACACTGAAGGATGGTACACATAGTATAACACTCCAGAGCTCTACTGAACGTAATGTAAAGTTTTCTCTTTCTTCTTTTCTGTAATGCGTTAGTTCTTTTCCAGATTGAAAAGCCCCACGTCCTGACCATAAACCCCAGCATTTGAAATCTGCCTGTACCAGATATGGCTCCTTGTGAATTTTTCCTGTTCCCTAAACTTATGCAAACCTTAAAAGGTGAGGAGTTTGATGATGTGCAGACGGTTGAGCATAGTGTAGCAGAGCAGCTCTTGATGAATCCAAAAACTGAGTTTGAGTGCTGCTTCCTGCATTGGCAGGAATAGTTGAACAAGCGTGTGTGCTTCAAAAAGATGCTGGGAAGGACAGGAATAAGCTTTTTCCGCTCTTTCTCATTTCCTTTTCTTCACCCTTGATACTTTTCCTCAGTCCCAGATGTCATCTTGTGTCTCCTCCCATCCATATCTGTGCTCACACAGCTTCTCAGGCCGTCAGTATCTTGCTGGACAAAATTGCTGTTTAAAGGCCTCAGTTTGTTTACTTTTCTCCTTCCTTTACTTGGTTTACAAAGGTCTCATTTCCCAGCCAGCGTCACTCCAACTTTTCCCATGCTTTGCTGACCCAGATTCCTGAAGGTGGAGACAATACACGCTCTGGACCTCAACCAGAGTACACATTGCTATATCTCAGAAGACAGTACTTCATAGACACCACTGTGAGGTCCTCATATCTCACATACTTGAATGGGCCCAATGTAGGGTGTAACATCAAGTGTGGCTTTATGTGTAAAGTAATATTGTGACTTATTTAATTATTGNTTTGTTAATAACATCTTACATGCCACTTGCTTAATAAAGCCTTTAAAAGTTCTAAACTTTTAGCATAATATCTACATCACTGGTGTATACTATGACCGACACTGGTCATCTTCAGGAATCTGTAAAATAGCTGATGAAACTGCTGTGCTTATGTCCATAAGTTAAGTTTTTGGAGTATGCCCTCATCTATACGCCCATGTGTCTGTAACCTATATTAGTGTTATGTGTATGACATGTGGTGTTGTTTCTTATGGTAAACTTGTATATGTACTTACCCAGTGGTGATGGGTAGTACAATATTGTAACTTATTTTATAGGAACCTGTTAATCTTTGTAGTTTTGCTGGTATATGGAGTAACATTCTGTATGATCATCACCATTCGTTTCCAGGCTGAGCCATTTTGGAAAGCCGTTGATGTAACTGAGTTCCCTCAGTATCGAGAATATGTGGCACATCCCATGGATCTCTCTCTCCTGGAGCGAAACATGAAGAAGAGAATGTATGGCAGCACTGAAGCATTTGTGGCTGACGCAAAATGGATTCTTCATAACTGCATCATATTTAATACTTGTAAGATTTTTTTTAATGTTTATAATGTTCTGGAGGTTCAACTTGATTTTCAGCACAAGTATTTTGAAAACGTGGAGATTATCTTGTATAATGTTAGCTGTCAGTATAGTGACTTGGCTGTGGACAGGACAACTGGATAATCAAGGTTTGATTCTTGGCAGGGACAGATATTTTTCTCATCTCCACAGCATCTGGATGGGCTTTGGGGCTCACCAGTCCATCCCATTGGCACACAAGGCTCTTTCCCAAAGGAAAGAGACCAGAGCATGAAGTTGACACTTGCCTCCATATAGTGCCATAATTAAGAATGTGTGAACCTATACCTTTACTCCTTCATACATCTCTGTGGTGTGGTACTTAATTAAGCACAGGGAAAACTGTGTACCTTTGGATGATGCTTCAGATTGTATTTATGTTTTAACAGACTTGATAATAATGGAGAAATTTTATTTGAACTTTTTATTCATGTGTGTCATATGAATATGTCTTGCTAATAATCTTTATCTGCTTTATTTGAGTATTATAGTTGTTTATGTATCCATATATTGTAGTGAGAATGCTGAGTTATAACATGAAAATTATCCATTAATCCTTTGGAAATGTGGCAACATTCATGGACTTGGTGATTACAGTAAGAAATAGCAAGCAGAAGTTAGAATGCTTGCTTTCCTGTTGCATAGATTTTTGTTTCTGCGGGTTTATTACTATTAGTGATATTTTATTTGACTGTTATAAGAAGTTACTAGTTCATACATATTCTGTATGCATTAAATACATTAGGTAGATTCTCAAATTTGGCACTGTCACCATGCTAAAAAACATTTTCTGGTGGCTGCCATGTTGATATTTACATTCAGCAAAAGACATTGGCTCAACAAAAGGTATTCTTTTGAGGATCTATTACTGTTAGACATTCCAGAACCCTGAATTAAGCAGAGCTAGTGTCACTTCCGTGTCACAAGTCTGCTTCACTGCCATGTTGTTATTGATTGTAGGTAATTTAAAAAACATGATGCTGGAGAGGACACACAGACAGCGTGGTGATCATTTAAGCTCTACTTGCTTTCATTGAGAAAGGAAATTAGGCTATAAGTGGTATTCATAACATGTACACTCCCAGCGACACTGCTGCTGACTTCCATCCCAGCCAAGATGGTCCTTGCAATACACTAGTGGTGTGCTGTATTCCAGAGTAAAGAGATGAAGGTGTACATGCATTAAGGAATTGCAAAAGTAGCACCAAGTGTCATCTAGCAACAAAAGAAGGAACTATGTGCTCAGAGGGCATCTCACTCCACGCCATTCCAAGCATCACAGTTTTTTAACATAGTCTCAATTACTGTGCTTGCAGTCTGCTGCCTGCCGCATAAATGCCTTGTGAATGATTCCTTTGGAATCAAAGAAAATGGTTAGCAGTGCCTTTACTCGACTCTTTTGCATGTGCACTTTCTTTGGTTTCGGCTTCTTTGGGCTCACCCACGCTGCACGCTGCACTCTGCCACTTTGTGAGAGGCTCATATTGAAAACACCATGTCTCGTCACCAGTAACAATCAATTTTGTAAATTTTGTATCACTTTGGGCTGACCATAACATGTCTTTGCAGTGTTCCACTCTGGCATGTTTTTCATCGCCTGATAGCATGTGCGGTACAAACCGTACACAGACCTTCCATTTGCCCAAATCCTTGGTCAAAATTTTATGCACAGTACTTTTTGCTATTCCCAAAAGCTCCTCATTGAGTCTTGCAGAAACACATCTGTCTGATGCAAGGATTTCGGTCACTTTTTTCACATTTTCTTCAGTGCAACTTGTTCTCGGCTTTGATGCACATGGAGCGTCTTCAGTGTCCTCCCTGCCGTCACGAAATACAGCATACCATCGAAAAATGTTCGAGCGACTCAAACAATCACTACCGTACACACTTTTCATCATTTCGTATGCTTCTCCGGCTGTTTTGCCTAACTTCAAACAAAATTTGATGTTGGCTTTCTGTTCAGCCACCATTTTTCGACAAGCATCAGAACAGTACTGTTACCTTCGAAGTCAGAACACATGATGCAGCGATGCTTGCACTTTGAAATTACAGACAGCCACAGCTGAAAATTCAAGAATATTATCACCACAACTCACCAACAGATGGCATTGCAGGGCAAAATCTAAAAAAATGAATCCTAACGGATCCTGGACACACCGTGTATTATAAACAGAGTCTTCCATTGCACTGTTCCTGACTTCCATGTTTCTTGATTCTTAAAGCAGTTTGGCTGTTCCTACCATCCTCCTCCTGCTCTCCATATTGCAAAATGTGCATACTTGTTACAGATCAGTCCCGCTTGACCGGCGTAGCCAGGGTTCTGGTGAAGATATGCAAGCAGGAGATGTCTGAAATTGAGAACTGCCCAGACTGTTATCTCAATGCACACACACGCAAGGATTCATGGTTCATTGAAGTTTGTGTAAGTACAAAATGTACGACAAAACCTCCAGCATCCAGAAGGGAATACCATTTTCTGTAAAATGTAACTTCTGCTTACCTGATGGGAAAACTATGTCCCATTATGTCATGTTTTTTTAAATTATTTAAATTGCCAAGAAAAGAAGTCTTATTGACTTTGTGTGTCTAAAATGATTCTTTAGGCCCCAGAGATTATCTCAGATTTTTTTATTTGAATCGTTCACTTATTTTGTTTTATTCACCCAACCCCTGGAGGTTGCAGAAGTCTTGAAGTGTTTGTAGTTCTCTCCACGAAGCCGTTCTTACTTCGTTGCTTTACGAAGCATAAGAATGAGACACCGATATCTGTAGACATTGTAGAAAATGCCTTGCCCTTTCTCATCATTCCTTTCATAAAATTTACACCCCTGTAGCCTCTTATTTTAGCAGTATTTTATTATATAAAAAATATTATGGGAGTATAGTGATATTGTCATTATTAGTTACATTTCTGTGTTTTTTTATGACTGTGCTTGAAACAGTGACTAGCACACAACTCCAAATTCTGTTGTGGTTGTCATAATTTTGTCCTTTTCTGCTTTTCACTGAACACACATAGCACCAAATTCATCCTCCTTGCAAGGGCCATTATGCACTGTGTCATACATTATGTCAAGTCAGTTGTGTTCCCTCATGTATTAGGTCCCTTACACAATGCGAATCTGAAACACTGGTATGATAATTTTGAGCCATAAGAGGTGATGAGAGTGAAACTGTTCAGAATTGAGAGGTATAGGATCAGCTACTGATCAGTAGCCATCATGACATGGACCGTAACAGATCCACAACTTCAGAAGACGCAGTAGAACAGCAAGACCTCAAAAAGTGAAAAAGTGCAATCTATAATGAAATTGAACTTTAATTCATGAACGTTTAATCAATAATATAATTAAACTAGTTAAAGTGAACTTGACGCAGTGATGAACGTAAGTAGGAAGTGACTGAATACAAGTGAAAGTGAAAAGCATAACAAGTGACCTGAATTGAAATTTGATTCACAAACTTTAAATTTTTTAAACAATTTTAAATTTAAATTTTAACTTTTGACTTTTAGAACAATTTTAACTTGTGTTTTATGAGAGAGCTTGATTTATTGAGCATGAGCCTGAATAAGATACAGGATTGAATAAGTGAGAAGACGAATGTGATTGCGTGTAATTATACAGCTGTGTTCATACACCTGAGGATGACCTCTTGAGGTCGAAACATGTAGTGTAATAATAATGAAAATATGTTGTGTGGTCGGTAAAATTGACTGTAATATTGATTAAATACACAACAGGATGCAAGAAACAATTAAAGTGAGTAAGTGTTGCTTAAAGGCAGAGACAGAATCCAGTCTCCAAAATGTCGTGTTGAGAATATAAACAGGACAGACATAAAAGGATGATGGATGATGTCCAGAATCATAATATTTGTATTTCATGTAAAGTTTTTACCAAATTTTCTGTTGTAGCGTAAGCCACACATCCTTGTCTGGGCCAAACTAAAGGGATTCCCCTTCTGGCCTGCCAAGGTGATGCGTACCAACAAAGAGGGAATGGTGGATGTGAGATTCTTCGGAGCTCATGACAGAGCGTGGGTTCCTGTCCGAGAGTGCTTCTTGTACAGCAAGGCCATGCCTGGGTCTACCCGCAACAAGAAGCGTAACAACTTGGATGCCTGCATACAGGTACTTACACTTCACCCTTGTCATAAACATATAACTTTGTGCTGCAGTTTTACAGTTTCCAGTTCAAGGACCAGATCTGGCCCCTTTATGATACAGTGGCTAAATATTTTTTGAAAGTTGTAAAGGTAAATTACACTTAAATGTAACATATATGTAGGTCATCCAGGAAGTAAAAAGGAGTGACATATAACACTTGTGCAGGTCAACAGTTCTCACCATTTCAAGGTTAATGGGCCTCATTAAGCTTTAGTAACAACCCAAGTGAATGACGCCTTGATTCTATCATTTTGAGATTTTTTGTAATATTTAAAAATGAGTACGAAAATTGAGAATCCCCCCGATTGTGAAATATGAGCTGTAATTTTGTTTTTGAATACGCGGTATGCCAGGGATGACACATGGGTAGCAACAGAGTGACTGGTTCAGTGGACTGGTGGCAGATTTTTATAGTGCAGGCATACAGAACCTCATCACATGATATGACAAGTTCCTGAATCTTCATGGGGATTATGTAAAAAAATGATTTAAGGTCTGTAATTGTCATGTAAAATAAAATTTTATAATTTTATTTATTTAATTTTTTATCACTGAACAGTCTTTACTTTCTGGGTGACTCTCATAGTAAGGTTTGTATATGTAAACGTCTGCATGATACATTTCTAATTTAAAATTGCTTAAAACAGGGTTGTCCACATGTTTGCCAGTTGGTTTTGTGCAGTCCACAAGAGTGTCCTTACTCTCCCCAAAGGATGTGTTAATTCTCTTCATTTTTATGAAACATGGTGAAAATTGCCTAAAAACTTGGAAAAAATTGTTTTGGTTCATTTCACATGATACCTAATAAATAACTTGGAAAAGTATGCAGTTAGCATAATGCCATGATCATATCCAATACTGATATAATCTAGCACACCAGCAGTGGATGATCTTTATCCACTGTCAGTCAGACAGCTTTTCATTCAAATATATTTTTCAACATTATGGGTCTGATTTGGGGTTTTCTCTTATGCACATTGTCCAGACCGGCTCTGGGGTCCACCGAACCTCCTATCCTCTGGGTATCGGGGGCTCTTTCCGTGGGCTAAAGCACCTCCATTTAGTGCCAAGGTCAAGAAAACGTGGATCAATACATCCACTCCCCGTACGCCTTCATAGCATAGTTTTTAATTAGTTAAGCTCAGGAACAACTTTACCATGGGTCTGATTTTTATTTTTGTGCCTCTGCTTCACAGATCTGATCATATCAGGGCATTGTATCAGCATACTGGTTTTATAATGTGGCCCATGTTCAGGTACTTCAGAAATGGCGTTCCTCCTCGGTGGTTCAGAGTTACGCAGCCCAGGTTTAAAAGAATGAGATGCTTAATCTCAGTTGCTTTTTGTCTTATTTTATTTGGTTATCAGGAAAATTGTTAAATTTTTCAAGAATGCAGCTGTTAAGTTAGTTGAGGACAGGTTGTACCACAAAGATGTTGAAACTCTTTGTTTCATTTGTTCATTCATCATTGGCTCTACAGCCCTTTGTTGGGCCCTGGCCTCTTCTTCAGTTTCAGAATCTTTTTTACACAGATAGTAGGACTCCTTGGACAAGTGATCAGCCCATTTGCCCAGTGCGCAAGCGAGTGAAGACAGTTCATGCCTTAGACCACATGGCCACCATGATTGGCGCTGGAATTCTTAAACCATTAAATTTTTACATAGAAGATAAATTGAACCTACTGGGAGACATAATAATTCCCATGAAATTTTCTCTTTCACTGTCATGATTTTCAAGCTATTACTTTTCCTCCTGCCACATTTTTTGGGGCAATATTTTAAAACATTTCCTCCAGTGGAAGGCCACCATCAAAGTCAGAGCAGTGGATCCATCCACTGGATTGGTGCCTATCATCCCGACTGTGCATGGTATCATGCCCTCGAGGTGGGAAGGGGATTGTATTGATTTTATTGATGTGTGTAATGGATTTTTAGCTTCCAGATTTTTCAGACACAAATAGCCTTAGATGCTGACATGCCCCTAATCACACACACACAAAACTTACTGAATGGATTCATATACCTGTTCTGGACATTATCTGAGCAAATATTTTTGTTAAGATGTGAACACCATCTTCCATTTTTGAAGGGTCAGGTCATCGCAATTTATGTCAACATCATCATGACTAGTGTTAAAAATAGCTGGACCAAACCTTCCTTGTCATCATACCACTTGAGCCCATTTTGCTAATTTTACACATTTTATGCAACTAGAATTACTTCCACTGCACAAATGAGCCTCACATTCTGCCTCCCCTACTACAGCATCGCTATCGGTATGTTCACTGTCACTGAACGACTCACCTGCTGACTCAGAATGAACTAAAATATGTTCTTTTTCCTTTTCTGTTGTTAGCACATGCTTGTTACTGGAAGCAGCCATGTTTGTGATGAATACCGTCACTTTTAGTGAATACGCACAGGGTTTTGATTAATAGTTGGATTAATTGAATGCATATGACTCTTAACTACAAATAACTATAACACTCTCAGTAATCTAGATACTCTGCATATAACTGCAGCATATACCATGTCTTTGTTAGTCATTGTTAGGTAGCAGCTTCTAACAGTGAATATTCTTCTACTTCCATGCTCATGGCCAACCACCAACTGCAACTGCTCCCTCACAACTAACTGCTAACTTCTGACTTTGATGGACTGGCTTGTTCCAGTCCTCATTGTATAGTCTTGCCTCAGACTACATAGAAAACACTAGTTACTGCGGTTCTTCTGTTGTTGCAACCATATCTGTTGCTGTGGGAGTGTGTTTGCTGGCCCGTTGCTTAGAAGTGGCCACCTCTTTGGGCTCCACTGTTCCACCTTCTAGGCATCATGTCACAATATCAAAAGAAGGTCTTCACCACCCATTATTCACAATTATATCTTGTTTTTACTATGAAGGAGTGTATTATCTTCAACCTTTCAAGTTGTTTGCAAACTCTAGCTTGGAATTCAAGTGTTCATGCTTCAGCCTCTTGCATACTTCAAAGGTTTTTAGCTTAGAATTTGTATGTTGATTTCATAACTGATGATGCATTTATGGGTCTGGTAGGCAGCTAGTGGATTGTCCAAATATATTGTGACATGAGGCCTAACAGCTGGAATAAGGGAGCCAGAGAAACAGCCATTGCTATGCAAACACGCAACAGTACCAGAGTCATTGCAAAGCAGTGTATGTTCACAACAACAGAGCATCTGTTGGATGCAGTATTTTCTGCTCAGTCCACACTGCGGCTGCATAAGGAATCAGTTTTGAGTTGTTAGTCAGTCCAGCCCCTCGTCTTAGCAGCCGAAGGAAGTACCAGCTGAAGCCAGTGGTAAGAGCATGAGGCTGGCATGATATGGCTGCGACTCTACAAGCACATGAGCCCAGAAGCAGAGGAACGTTCACCATTGGAGGTTGTTACCAAGCAACGTGACTGAGAACACTAGTCCGTGTCTGACAGTGGTCTGTGAAATGTAGTCATGAGCTGTAAAAGTGCCTGGTAAATCCAGATATCAATCCAAAACCTATCATCACTCAGTCGTGTGACAATATTGTAACATGTACAGCCATTGCTGTGCAACAACCCTGGGATAAGGCGAATAAACAGCTACCATTTCGAGGCAACGGCTGAGCAAACATGTTCCCACAGCAATGAATATGCATGTAACAATATAGTTGGTGTTGGAAACGGTGTTTTCTATTCGGTTCATGCAAAAGGGTATAAAGGAAGACATTTGGTGCAACCCAGTCAGTTGATAGTTGAGTTCTACAAGGGAAGCTGAGAAGAGATGGCGCTATAGTTCAGTTGTGGGATATTTGCTATACAGTAACAGTGTGAACACAGAAGCTGAGGAATCTCCATTGTTGAGAGCTGTTACCAAGCTATGACTAGTGAAGACACTGCAGGCTGGAGAAGACTTAGCATGTAGTGATTTGTAAAGTGTGGAAGTCAGTGATAGTGTTATAGTTATTTGTAGTTACAATCAATAAATATGGTCACCAATCCATACCCCATCCATAGTCACACCACTAAATCATGACATATTTATGGAGTTGGTGAAAGGGTTAATTTTTTTTTTCAGGAGGTTGAACAGCACACCAAGAAGCTGCGGGATAAGTTTGGTGCGTTCGAACATGCCCCCTTCCGAACACTCTTTGACCCATCTTGTCAGAAGGAGCAATTGCACATGTTGCTGCCAGGGTATGATTGCACTGGAGACGGAGAACCCAGCCCGAAACGCAGCAAGCTCCCAGCAGGAGGCTTTGCAGTTCGCACATATCAGCGCTCTCAGCAGTCTGACAGAGAAGCACAGGTGTGTGTCCGTGTAAAATGTAGGCACTGCATGATGATAGCTTTTAGTGTAAAGGTACTCATCATGGCAATAGATCAGTGCCAGTTTGTGTCACATATCTGTAATCTTACAGGTAGTTGTAAAGTAGTGTGATTAACAATATGTATTATTGTTATCGCTGAAATGTGAATGGTTTTATAGAAGTACACGCGAGAATGACGCTCAATTTCAGACCAGATCAAGGGGTCATGAATTGGAAGAAAACTTTGAGAATCAGGATGAGAAAAAGAATTTTCTCTGCTACACTGATCAGGGCGATTACTGTTTATAACGATAAACACTTTCACAATACTGTCAAGTGTAATTTTGTCACTTTTGATATCAGGTCCCTTTTCAGTGAAAAATGTTCATAGATCATTGTATTTATAAAAATAAATTCTAGGGCCATGTAATTTTTCACCATGGGCAGAAAGAAAGAGAAATTTCATTTGCAAGTTGATTCGTGCTAGTGTTGGTGCTCTTCACAATTCTGATGGAGCAGATAGATTGCATCCTACAGAGCAGTGCAAAAGGTGTTGTCTGATATTGTCAGAGTTAAGACTGAGAAATCAGTATTCAAATCAAGATCAAGAGTTTTTGCTTGATTCAGTCTAAAAGTTTTGAGACTCGCACTTCTTTAACCTTAAGTGTATTATTCAAGGCAGGAGCATTTGAAAATTTTCCCTTTTCACATCCAGAAAATTTCTGGGCCCCACACACTCTCTTGCCCGATGGTCATTTGAGGCTCTTTCTTTATGAATAAAGTCAGCCAAAGCATGAAGCTGACCATTCAGCTCCATCTAGTACTAATAATAAACAAATCAGAAAATGAAGAGTTCTATCTTATAGGTTATAAAGCCATGTAGTCCAGCATTTTTGAAGGAACATGTTGCCTCCTTTTTCAGGGCCAAAGAATAAGCCAAGCAAGAAACCAGCATGAAGGCAGCCAGGAGCAGCAAGCAGACTTTTCTTGCCATTTCAGTGTATAACCATCATCATGCATTGTCATACAAGAGATGTAGCTCTCAGCCTTGCATAAAATTTCTCTGTCCATAGGACTTTTATTATATATATGCTAGCTATTAAAATACATAAATGTCCTATAATTTTGTACTATTTTGTCACATGTTAGTGACTAGACACAGAGTTTGGATTGGTAATTGGATTTATTGAACTCTTATAGCTCGTAACTACATAACTAGCATGAGTAAAGGCTTCTGTTTGTTCAGTAATCATTGCTAGGTAGTGGTTGCTAACAATGCAACTCAAGACTTGAGACTGCTTAGGCTGCTGCTGGGTCCTCAATATGTAGCCTTGGCATGGAATGAACAGGAAACACCACTTACAACAGTTCCTCTCTTGCTGCTTATTTATTTGTTGCGATGGAAACATGTCCACCATGCTGTCGCCTAGTTACGGCCGTCTCTTCTTGTTCCATCATTCCGGCTTTCAGCTGTTATGTCACATTATTAAAATTTCATATTTACATCATTGTTATTGTTGTTGCTTTATATTTATTTACTTATATGCACACACACACACCAAGCAAGTTGGCTCAAATGAAAATGGTTCTGACTTGTATTTGGGAGGTGCAAAGTTTGAATCTCAGTTGAGGCACCAGCTGTCCTCACAGATTTTTCAGTGTGTTCCTTTGGCTCTCCAAGCAGATGCGAGGTAGTACTTTAAAATAAGTTACAGCCGTTTCTTTCACATATTTTTCAATTCATTATTCACTGTTATCAAATCATTCAGCAGTATATTGTAGCATCTAGACCCATTGCTAAGTAATGTCTCTGTAAACAATGCCCTTTGTTATTCAACACATTCAAAACACACCAGTTGACTGGCTGGAAAGTGGCATTTTCTGTGCAGTCTGCTCCGATGCCTGCACAAGCAATAATGGATACAGAGGAACAGTGTTTTCTGTGTGGTCCATGCCTAGGTGCTATATGCAGGACAGTTAGTGGAGCCAGTTCAGTTGAGTGGAGTAGAGTAGAGTGAAGTGAAGTGGTTAGTTGGTGAGTTAGTGCAGTTGGGTTGAGTCAGTCAGTGAAGTGAAGAGTAGTTGGTTGGTGAGCAGTCAGTCAGTTGGAGAACTGCTTCAGTTTGGTCTTTGTGAGCTGTTGCTATGAGAAGCTTCTAGCTGAGGCACAAGGATAGTTCGGGAACCCAGAGTAAGAAGAATGTCTGCCATTGGAAGTCACTACCACTAACAACTGGTGAAAACAGCAGACTGAAAAGATTTAGTGCATGCTGTAATGATTTGTAGAGTGTCTGAATTGGTGATAGTGTTATAGTTACTTGTAGTTACAATCTGTAAGTGGTCAGTAAAGCTAATTACCAATCCAAACCCCATCCACAGTTACTCAAAATCGTGACACTATGATCTGAGTCCCTGACATCTTCATTGAATAAACTACAGAATATATTGTTACATTATGTCATGAAATTCATTTTGTTTCGTCCATTTCCTATTTCCGCTTGTTATGTAGACTGATATAACTGAAATCAGACATTAAAATGTGGAGCGTATCATTACTAGAAAAGCACAATAGACCACTGTAGGTCAGGGTGCAAGGGCCGAGAAGGCCTACCCCTCATACATTCATTCATTCACCATTACTAGAATGTGAGGTCTTCTGGGTTATTGATTGTGTGGCTTTTACTCTTTAACCCTGAAGGTGGAGACAGTGCATTCCTCAAGAACTTCTACTAGACTATGGTGGCACTTCCCAGAATATAGTACTCCTCATGGTCATTGTCATAATAACCCCAGATCTCATGTTAAAATAGGGAATTTGTTCTTTCAGGAAAGAAATAAAACCCAGACTTCAGAGGCTGATGAATTGAAGACAACAGTGGCAAGTGACAGATCAGGTTATAAGAGAAACAGAATTGAAAAACGAAAACTTTGGGACAGAGACATATATAGTGACAATGAAAAGAGAGCAAGTCGGTCATATAAAAGGATGGGCAGCGGAAGCAGTGTTTGTGATCACAACAGCATCAGCAGTGAGGACAGTCAGGAAAATGATGAGGGAACTCTGAAAGTCAGAGGAAGTAGCATGGGTGCTGATGTCATCGGCGGTAAGAGTGCATCTCTTGTAGAGTGGTCTAGGTTTGAGGAGAGTGCTGCCAAACTGAGTGTGGGTGTGAGTGATGAAGATAAACAGACTGTTACTTCAGAGGGCAGGAAGGTGAGGGACTCCGATGACCGTACAGACACAGTGCTTCCCTGTAGTGGTGCTAAAGTAAGGGATGGAGAGACTGGCATGCAGAGTAGTGAAGTAGAGAAAGATGTTTCTCATGTGGTGAAGAAAGTTTTGGGAAGTCCAAGTATTGCAGAGAAGCTTCAGGAAAAGTTGTTTGGGTTAGACAAGTCCAGTGAAGAGTGTAAGGATGCTGAGGATGCACCTCCTGAAGTAGTCTCAAGAAGTACGCTAGAGAAACAGGAGGATTTCCTTGAAGTGGAGAATAAGACTGAAGAAAGCTCAAGAATGTCTAAAGGCTGTGAAACTTCATCAACCACTGCCAAGGAAAATGATGGAGTGACAAATGTGAAACTTGAAACATCCTGCAATGGAACTAGAAAGCCAAAGGTTGGGCAGAATAAGGGAGATTCTAAAGATGGTGACTTATGTGGCTCAGAGAGGGATGAACATGACAAGGAAAGGTCAGAGTCACCTGTTATCAATAAATCTCCACTTAAATCTGAACCGAAACATTATGGTAAACAATACTCGCCCAAGGTGGTTCTGTACAATTTGGTTTTGCCTCCTGGTAAAATTCTGCAAGGGAAAATAAGATGTTTAACAAGGGATATTCCATCTAGTAAATGTTTAATGAAGGATGTTGCATGTAATAAGAAACTTCCTGCAGCAGAAGAGAAACATGTTTTGTCACCTGCAGAACCTAAGCAGGCTCAGGAAATATCACCTGGGGAAGAGCACACATACAAAGGTACTTCATTTAAGGACAGTGAAGGGAATTCACATACAGAGAGTTTGCTTAAGAACAGGTTAGAAGTTTCTGATATTGCCAAGGAACAAAGCAGTATTAATCCCAAAAGTCGCTCATGCTTATTTCTCCCTTCATATAACCGTAATGTAGTTCAAACAGATAAACTTAATGTGGTGCAAAATGATCATCCCACAGATGTGAATATAAAAGCAGGATTGAGTGATAATTCAAGTGAAAGTGGAGACGGTGATATTGTTATGGACTCTTCAAAGCGGACGCCAGAACATGGTTATAGTAGATGCAGCATTGATGACAGTCTTTTGGAAAACAATGCTAAGGTGCTTGAGTCAAGTAATATTGAAAATACCAAGCCCACTGAACAGGCAGGAGTAGTGGCTGAGAAGGATGTAGAACAGGATGATGGTGGCTGCGCTTTGAGTGCAGTGGAACCTGTTCAGGGGCAAGTCAGTATATTAGAACCTGTCCAAGAAAAGAACAGTGCAGTGGAACCTATTCAGGAGCAGGACCACATATTGGAACCGGATAGGGAAAATGGCAGTGCAGTGGGACATGTTCAGGAAAAGAACAGTGCTTCAGGGCCTGTTCAAGAAAATTGCGGTGCATCAGGACCTGTTCAGGAAGCAGTCAGAGAGTCTAAAGCTGTACAGAGCTCTACAGAAAAATTGGAAACAGAGTCAGTCATGGACACGAAACCAGCTGGTAAAGAAGTCATTGTCTCTGAACCACCTTCTGATGTTAGCTTTGCTGTGTGTGTATCCCAGAACAAAACTGTTATTTGTGGTTCACTTTCAAGTCCTGCTGACACAGATTTTGATCCTCTAGAGGAGAGATCTGAAGGAAAGTCTCTCACTGAAGAAATGAACAGTAATAAATGTTCTGAAATGAATGGGATAGAGCAGTCAGAGGATAAAGTAAGTGATGAAACAAGTAAAGGGCCAGCATTGTCTGACAGTGACAGGGTAGGTTCTGTTGCTAGTAGCAGTAGTTCAGAGGATAATTCAGACGTATCCATGAAGTTAAGTGCTTGTCAGGCTGCTGTGCTGAAAGTCTACCCTGCAAAAACCAGTAAGGCTTTGGATAAGAAAATTAAAGACTGCAAGACAAGTGAATTAGCACCATTACAGAATGATGAGACTTCTACCGCTGCCACAGTGGTCACTCCATCTGCAGGAAAGGAGGATTTTACAAACAGGACCTGTGTTACTGATGGCAGCAGTATTTTATGCAAGAAGATCAAAGAAGAACCCTTGGATCCCGATGAACTAATGCAAGAGTCGTCATCTGCCTCTGCTTCAACACTGTCCAACCGTCATAATTCAGCTAAGACATCACCTGCATTCAAGCACCATAGTTCTCCAGGCGAGAAGACTGAAGCCGATGGTGACAAGTTTAGTAAAGGGAAAATAATAGTGAATAAGAAACTGAATTCAGCCATGTTAGACGATAAAGACAGATTAGCAAGTAATGATAGCCCCTCCTCTGTGTCAGAGAAGGACGGTATCTTTCCGTCACTTTTTCTTGACCCAAGTATAACCATAACTGTGATTAATGATAAACCGGCTGAGAGTGTAGAGGTGCCAGCCTTAAGTAAGAGCAAAATTTCTGGCAGTGATATAAATGTTAATGAGCTCAGGGCTAGTGTGAACCTTTCAAAAGATATCAGTTTGACAGTGGTTGGTGCAGGTTATGGTGGTCATTCTAGCTCAGCTAAGGGCATGTCATCAGGTGCTGTGACATCATTGGACATGGAGTGTGACCATGAGAGTGACCACGATGAGTCACATAACTCCTCAACAAATGCTACATCTGGGCAGGCCCCATTAACTGTCCAGAATGTCATAACTGGACAGAACAGTACTGGTAAACAAAAGAGGCAAAGACCTTCAGGCGGCAGTGACACTCACCAGCCAAGATCTAGAGCTAGGAAGTCATTCCCTAACAGGCCACCTTTCACAAACATTAAAGTGAAATCCCACCCTGAACTTGTAAATGGGGTTGGGTCATTTGGTAGCAAATCATCGGTCCAAAGGCGGAATTCTGCTGGAACAAATTCAAACAGTTCAGACTCAAGACGCAGCTCATATGGAACTTCACCTCAGGAGATCCTAATGTCAGCACAGCAGTCAGGAGACACTAATGCAGAGAACTTTGGTGGCAGTGATAACAACAACAATAATCCCAGTAGTGCTATGGTTGTGTTACCTCCTATGTTAGGCACTCCAAGCACAAACCATATTCAGGCACTGAGAACAGTGAACAGCAATATTGGATCGCCATCTCATATAGTGAATGGTGGTGCAGACATCATGACTTCACGGATGATGCAAGTACCTCACAGCCAAACTCACCCAGTGGGAAATAGTGCCAGGATTTCACCAGTAGGACAAGGCCCTGGAGCTTCTCGCATGCCCCCTCAGCTGCAGCCTCGACCCTCAGGTCCCCTCCTGTCGCAGCACCCTCCTTCCGTACCCTCAGATGCAGGGCCTGTGTCTGCAGACCTCAACAGGCATGCACACAAGGTACGTCTATTGACATAACAATGTTACGTGTTAGTAACTGGACATGGGATTTGGGTTGCTAACTGGATTTATTTGACTCATATAACTCATAACTACGGGTAACTATAACAATTTCACTAATCTACACACACTAGAAATTGCTGTACTACAGCACATGCAATCTCAGTGTGTTGTAGTCTTCACCGGTCGTTGCTGGATAACTGTCTATATTAATCAGGATTCCTGGATTAAGACTTTGTTCATCATCTGGTATTCTAAAAAATGGAATAATACCAGATGATGAACAGAGTCCAGAAATCCAGTAATCATGAGTGTTATACACAATAATCAAGACCCTTTAGAATCTGCCAGTCTTCACTAGGTTATGGTTCCCAACAATCAAGATGCTTCTGCTCTTTTGCCTGTATTGTGGCTGGCTACCATCTCACAACTCAATGCTGCAACTCATGGCATCATAAGCTATCACTGGCTACTCACTGGCTGTCACTATGTAGCCTCAGCATGGACTGCATAGAAAACACCGTTTGCAGCAGTTCTTTAGTTGTCATGAGATGTTGCTTAGTGATGGCTCACTTTTTGATCAAGCTGTTACCACACAACACACAGTGTTTAGTCATGTCACAGTTTTTTTATAAATCATGGTGGGTTTTGAATAAAATAATCTCATGATGTTTAGTAACTGATAGTGTTGACAACTTCGTAACACCAGACTTATCCTCATCAAAATATTTGTGAACTGAAGTGTAGGCCATATTGTAGACATTGTCACTAAGGTATGTGTTAGGAGGAGTATAGGGCAAGAAGCTGTCAGGCAGTGATTGCAGCTGCATTGTAGGAGTTAACTGGGGAGAGCGACACCTTATATCCGAGGCCATGCTATTGTACATATACATCTACGTTCATTACCTCAGTTAGTGGACTGAACCAAATCCTGCATGGATTCTGTTAAAACAATCAGGTGTAAACATGAATGATGTAGATACTACAGTCTATTATACAACATATTTTAATTTGGGGGTAGAATTGTTGTGTCTTAGTCAGCAGAAGATTTAGAGGTGAAGGTAAAGTTGTTCCTGTACTTAACTAATTAAGCACTATGCCATGAAGGCGTATGGGGGAGTGGATGTATAGATCCACATTTTCTTGGCCTAGGCACTAGCTGGAGGTGAGTGGTCAGCTTCACCCCCAGGGAAAGGGCCCCTGGTACCCATTGTATAGGAGGCTGGATGGGCCCCAGTGTCCGTCTGGACAACGTGAAGAAAAGAAAATTCATCACCCTATCTGGACTCGAACTCTGACCCCTACATCGTCCAGCCCATAGCCAGTCACTATACCGACTATGTTATCCCGGGTCACCAGCGGCAGGAGATGTATACAGGGGGGTCCAAAAAAATGTACCATAACTGGTCAGGTGTATCTTAATATGCTTCCCTGTCATTCGAGAGCTGTTTGGAGATGAGAGATTTGACCTACAACAAGATGGTGCTCCACCTCACTACCATCAAGATGTCAGAGCGTACTTGGATGACACTACCTGGATGATGGATAGGTCGAAGAGGTGCTATTGAGTACCCACCACAGTCTCCAGGCCTAACACCTCTCGACTTCTACCTATGGGGAACTTTGAAGGATGAAGTTTATCGACAGAAGCCAGCGAAGCATCGTGTGCAGTCATCACACTGGACACACTGACAGCTGTAGTTTGCTGAGCAGTTCGGCAGCATTGACGCTGTTTAACCGCTGATAGTGGCCACTTTGAATGCATGCAATGACTCTCTCTCTCTCCATGCAAGAATTGTAACTACATGTCATTTTTTTCCAAAAATATTGACTATCAAAGAGTGAGAAAATATTTTTGGACCCCTCTGTATTTTTATATTTTCTGGAGGTCTCAATAAACTTAGTGTAAAGGCTTTGTTTTATATGAGCTTTATGATAAATTCTGGACACACAGTTAAGTTATGTTAATATCAAAGTACAAGATGCAACTTGCTGCAGTCACAATATTGAATACTCAGTATGTTACGTTAATAAAGATCACTTTCCTATGTACCCAAACAGGGGACAACCATAAATATAAAATGACGCCTTGAAATCAGACACTTTAAGAGGAGAGTAATGAAAATAAACTTTTTACTCTTCAACAAAGAATTGAATTTGATATTGTAACATTGTTTAAAATGACTGTGGAACATGTACCAAACATTGTGGTGATTTGTAATGTTGTGCTAAGGAGGATGAGTTGGGCAGGCCATGTGGACAATTGGGGGACAAGATGAATGCATGTAGGATATTAGTGAGAAGGCCACAAGGAAAGAGACCACTAGGAAGACCAAGATATAAGTGGATGGATAATATTAAAATGTATCCTAGAGAGATAGGATTGGGTGGTATGGACTGGATTGTCCTGTCCCATGATAGGGATCAGTGGAGGGCTGTTGTGAACACGGTAATGAACCTTCAGCTTCCATTAAAATGTTGGGAAGTTCTTGAATAGTTGCACAACTGGCAGCTTCTCAAGAAGGGCTCAGCTCCATCAAGTTAGTGCTAAGAAACAAGGTGTGCCAGAAAATTGAGTATGTTTGCCATGTGTGTGCATTGTATATTTTTCTTTCTTTATTATTATTATTTGTGTACTGCTTCTCTCAGGTTATCAGTTATCTTAATTACTAATTTTTAATTAATAAAAAGTTCAGTTTCATAGTATTTGCACTTGGTGAACAGCTTTCTTAAAATAAGTATTTGCTTGCTACATTATACACGTACGTATGTGCATTTTCAAGGGAGCCTGCACTGCGGCATTGTTTGGAACATTTGCATTACCTGCTAAGTGCTTCTGTTGATGCCAGAATGTCCAAAGCAGTTTATTTTCATAATACACATATTTTAAAATTGACAGTGGTTTTCCAAGTAGCAAAATATGAAAAATCCCTTATTATATTTGGGCCATACAGTAACCAAAGTAACTGATATCTGTGGAAAAACCCAGAAATATGGGCTGAAGTCTGGTTTAGCCTTCCATCTAGATGTGCGAATTTGGAAATCATTGCTTACAGGTGTTACGTTGGCCTTTCTTTCAGTCTCTGAACTTGTGTGTGTGTGTGTGTGTGTGGGGGGGGTATTTAAGTGTTGCAATTTGTCTGCTATGTAGAGATTGCTGACAGTGTTTGTGTGTGAAACAGCTGAATGACTTCTTGAGGACAACTGTAGAAGAAATCCTTCGGGACCTATCCAACATTGGCAGCCCAGAAGCAACCATTAAAAGTTTACAGATAGAACTGGAGAAGTTACAGTGGCGTCACAACCAGGAGATGGCAGAGATGAAGCACAATACAGGTTTGTGACTTGCTTTCCTAATTTATGTCCAAAGTAAGCAGAAGTACCTGTTCTGTGCCAAGAATATGGTTCATTCCCCTGTAGCTAACCTTCTGAGAAGTAATGATGCTCAAATGAAGGAATTGTTGCTTATGTAATATAAAGAAAGGAAAGAGACTGTGAACAAAAATGAGGCAAGAATTAACAGTGTTCTGTTGTCATTCTTGTGTAATTACTCTGCAGTCAAATTACCATCAGATTTGACTTATGGTATTGCCCCACTGACTCTTATCTTTCGTGTTTTATTTACTGCTGAAGATTGTGCCGGCTTGTTACATGTCCAGGGATCTTCTCAGAATGTCGTATCAGCAGACACTGTGGTATCCCCCAAGCAAACTGAAGGTCATTCATTGATCACCTGATCAGTGGGTCAGTCAGTGTTGTAGGAGCTTCTTTCTCTTGTGCTTTGTTCTTTACCTTTATGGCTCATGTGAAATAAAATTTAGAACAAAGAGTTTTCATTTATGACTGTTATGTGAAAAAGATCTCATACGTAGTAAAGAATAGCAGCGGCATGCACACAGGAAGACTACACAGAATAACGCCTGTACAGTGTGGAAACAAGAACTAGCCGCTGCAGCACTTTAGACATAGGGCGAGTAACCCTAACAATTTTAAATTTTGAATTTTAAAATTTAGAGAAAAATTTTAAAGGATTTTAAAATTAGAACTAAAGATATTTTATAGTGCTACTGCAGGAAAATCAAAATTAACATGTGTAAAATAATCTATAAACCAGACAGATATCAACGAAGTAGATGTTGATAATGACAAGGAAAGGAACAATGTGTTTTTAAATGTTAAATTTTAAACTAAGTGCACAGTAACAGCAACGTGAGTGTATACACCTGATGAAGGCCATTTGAGGCCGAAACATATAGTGTAAAGGAGAGCAAGATCAAGGGCATATAATATATTGTTTGCACTTGGGACGGAGTTTATGTCATTTATCCTCTGTGGTAGTTTGGACTCAACACTTACAAATAACCAAGCTTGTTAATAGTGGTGTGTGTTAAAGTTGTCCCTTCATCTGGTGCCTCAAGTTCCTGGAGCACAATCAGAGTTAGGTTTGTTTTGCTTTACCTTTGACCTTGAAGATGGATGCTGTACATACCTCTGAAATTCTGATAAGCTGCTACAAGACTGCTTGATGCCATATCCTAGCAGTCACAGCCATGAGAACCCCTAATTTGGAATGTGCTTTTTGTTTGGCAGACTTGATAGTGATGGAAATGCGAGCCAGCATGGAGACTGAAAGGCAACGTGTGGTTGCAGAGACTATACGGCAATGTGAGCTGGAAAAACAGAGGGCTGTGGAAGAAACCAAAAAGAAACAGTGGTGCACTAACTGCGGCAAAGAGGCTTTATTCTACTGCTGCTGGAACACGTCATACTGTGACTACCCATGCCAGGTAATATGACACTGTGTACGACAGTATTGCTTGACAAATGGGGTCATCATGTGGTACAAGAGTATGCAGTTGTTGAACGTATGCTCTGATGTTTGGTGTATTCCGTTGGCCTTTATGTTAATTGCAAAACTGATACTGTGTTATGGATATCACACTGTACAGAGGTCGGTTATTTCTCTTCGTGTTTTGTTAATCTGTTGGTTTTAGCTCATGGAACAGTTCCATGTGACGCTTGGATGGACATAGGATAGGCTTACAGAGCTCTTCATCTTCTCACTTAATTTCGGCTTTTCCTCAGAGGTGGCAGTGCTCTCCAGCATATATTAAACTGGATATTAGAGAAGTGGGATGGAGAATGTAGACTGGATTCATCTGGCTTATGATGAGATCTGATGGTGGGCTGTTGTGAACAATGTAATGAACCATGAGGTTGCATAATATGTGGGAATTTTTGTGAGCAGCTGAGTGACTAGTAGCTTGTAGCTATATCAGCTATATTACAGTTAGATAAGAATGGTATATGCTGTGGGAAGTCAAGCAACTAGCCTCTTACATGTTGTATCATTCAGAAATAGTTCTCCCCCATAATATTTGTTGTATTACAGCAACGTCACTGGCCACAACACATGTCAACATGTGCACAAAATACCCAACAGGGTGGTGACGGCAGCGTCCGTGAAGGAGACACACCGCGGAGTAGCCCACAGACTTCAGGTGGTAGCAGTAATCATAAGGCCAGCCCATCTCAGCAGCAACAGGTATGCCCAATCACAGAAGGCCTTAGAGCCTTCAATTATCCATTACAATAGGATAAGTCAGTGATATGTGATTAGTTACTCTTCTGTGTCACCATGAGTTAAATGTGCAAACAGTAATAGGAGCACTCATTTCTCTAGTAAATGTGGAAATTCAGGGAAGATTAGCAGGAGAAATTTTTGTAGCTCCTTGGAGTTTCTTTGACCCTAGGAGTGACAGTTGTTGAATCAGTGTTTAGTTGTCCTTATTTCTCCTGTCCCACCCTCTTTTCATTAACTTGTATTTAAGATTTGATGTTCTTTTAGCCTTGACCATGAAGAGCACTATCTTTTGGGATGTTCTGTTGTATAGTCTGGTAGAAATGAGGCCTGCAGTGGGCAGACATGCCTGCCAGTGCTTCCCTTGCAGCTCCTTCCTTCCCCTTCATCCCCAGACATCGCCCCGTCGGTCTTCTCACTTATGCTCATGTTCTCCTTCCATTTCCTGTGTGATGCCCTTGTTCCTTTCACAGCCACCTACACTTCTCGTTGGTCCCTCTTGCATCAAGCTCTGGTTTCTCTCATGGCTCCTTTTAATGTCACTACAAGTTCATTCCTCCTGGCTTCTGTTGGTTTGCTCTGGTCTCCTACCTCAGCCTGTATCCATACCTCTTATTCCATGCTTGATGTAACTTTGCATTTTGTACAGTTTGCTTTTCCACCCTGAAGTTGGAGGCAGTACATTCCTCTGAAATTTGTGTAAATTTCAGCCCAAGTAGCCTGAAGTAGCTTGTTCACTGCCTATCAGGAGTCATTCGCAATATGCTGGTGTGTATATATCTAATACAGTTACAGGGCGGCATACGAAATGTTAACCCGTTCCTCTTGTTTGTTGACATTACGTTATATTAGGAACAGATTTCGAACTTTGTCAGTGAATGCACTAGTTCATGAAAACTATTGTCAGTGGCTGAAGAGCACTGTATGGCTAGTGACGTAGCAAAGCAGTTAGCAGTTAAATGGCAGAGGGTATTGGCTGCTGAGCAGAAAGCAAAATTTATGCTATTTTTTTTTTGTGAAAACAAAGAATTTTAGACATTTTAGTGCACATTTAAACACCCAGTGGACCCCAGACCCACATGACAATTCAGCAAGAAGGGTTCAGTGTTGTGTCAATACTTTGTCCCAGTCCAAGTAACTGGTCCAGAGAACATGGAGTTTTGCTTGCTGACAATACAGCAGAGCATGAAAGTAACAAGAAAACCACAGTGTAGTTGGTGATTGTAGTTCATTTCAGTTCAGTAAACATTGTCCCCTGATCTGTACGAGATGACTGTGATGTGTGAACTTGGCGAACATAATGAAGATTAGAGACTGAATTTTGCCACTTAATAACTGCTTTACGTCACGTCTTTTCAGTCTGGTTCATTTTCGGTTTTGTCAAATTGTAAACTAAACAACATTGATTTTAGTCTAATGAACCCCCACATTAGTTTCACAAGAGAGAGAGAGAGAGAGAGAATTATTGAATTATTGTTTTTAATGACTCATTTGACGGTATATGGTCATACTGGGCATGAACCTCATGCCGCAACTTGTTGCTCTAGACTGCCAGTTGCAATTGGTTCTATATGCATTATGGACTCAGTCAGACATTGCAAATGTGGTGTTTGACTTCCTGGTTGGAAAGTTTTGTTCTCAGATAATTCATCCTGAATTCCCATGATTGTGGACAGGACAACCACCCCATAACCTTGACATTAATTTGTGCTAGTTCTTAACATGTGGAAACATCAAGGACAAATTGTGCACAAGGAAACCTGATTGGAACTCATCATCATCATTCATCCATTCATTCCTGTTACTCCTAGGAGAAACATGGAGTTTCCACAGAGTGCTGCCATTCAGCTCTGTTCTCAACCAACTTTTCATCTTATTCCACATTTTTCCTTCTTCCTCCTTAATTATTTTTGTCCAAATTGTTCTTAGCATGTCTGCTTCTGAGCCCTTGAGGATAACAGTCCAGTGTGTATATTTTTTCTGTCCCATTCCCATAATTATCATATATTTATTCCATTTCCATTTTCTTCTTTTGATTTCCACTACATATTTATCTTCAATTTTTCAAACCTGACCACTTTATGTTCAGTTTTCTTCTTGTACAATGGTTCAAAAAGATATATAGTTTATGTCAAAGAATTCAATTTGTCTTTTATGTTTCACAGCCACATAGAAGGACAGCATTGACACTGCTATAAGTATTATTTCATTTTAACAAATAGTTTGCATTCCACAGTGGGTATAATTGTATAAAGTGTCCATTTTTTTTTCATTGTGCAGCTTTTAATATCTTCTGAAGTTTCCTCTTTATTCATAGTCCCTCCCAAGTACATGAATTCTTCCACACTCCAAACCTAAGTTCCAGTAGCCTTGAAATTTTCAACTTTGTTGCTATTTAATCACATCTCTGTTTTATAACAGAACTCAGACTCATGATAATGCAGGTGTGTCACAGTGTTTCACAAAGCCATCACACACGGAGCATGCTCTTGGCTGTCTATGCCCACAGAGTATGCTCAGTATGATATTGGCTGTCCCTGTGTGGACAGCATATCTATATCCACAAAGTATGCTCTCAGCTGTCCCTATGCAGACTGCTGATGAAAGAGTGGATGGGGTCAGGTGATTAGTCATCACGGTCAATGCTGTTCATAATGGACACTGGAATGCCAACTGTCATTTGTCACACATAACAAAGGGTGTAAATACTGCATGCAGCCATATCACTCATCACATCAGCCTTTGATGAAGGCTCTCCAAAGCAGATACTAACTGCATCTCCAGACATCTAATCACTCACAATGACTCACCATAATTGTGTTCGTTCCTAATCTATGGTTGGTTTCAAGTGAGAGATTCACTTTTATTATCGAGTAGCCTAATTTTTTATGTTGTTGAGTAAAATGTATCTTGTGTTCCTCTAAAGGTTTGTGACAGAGGTTACACATGCATAAGGAGTGGGCCTAACTGCTGGCCCTTGCACCGCAACCTTTAGTGTTGTGTTGTATATCGTGACAAAGTTAATTTATTATATGAATGTTATGTTGTCCATTGTCATTTATTTATATATTTCATACATGTAACTCTTTGGTGTTAGAATTAAGCCACTCTTTGGGTGATTGATTACCATTATGCTGACAGATTTGTTGTAGCTCTTTTCATGCTGCATTTTAGTGGCAAAATTTTCGTGCAAACCTGGTACCATAATGTGACATATAAATCCATTGCCGGACAACACCCGCAACATACACATGGCCAACAATACAGCAGCGTTTTCTTTATGTCTGTGGAGTTTGCTCATACGCAATGACGTCGCACGGCAGCACTTAGAAATCATGTATCATGTGTTTTCTGTACGTCCAGCCAGAGCACCAATGGACTGGCTGGATAGCGATCATGTGATATGTTTTCTGTAGGTCTGTGCTGTGTCTATATAAGTGAGCAGAATTCCTAAGCAGAGTAGTAAGTGTCTGGAGTATAGCGGTAAGCGGGAGGAGTACAGTAAGCAAGCAGTAAGCCTGAGGAGTACAGAAGAGTACAGTAAGTCTGCCTGTGAAGACTTTATGTTTGCTGTACTACAGTGATATTGGGAGTGTGTGATTTAGTGTGACTTTACAGTTCCTGTGGTATAAGTCCATTCCCAGGAAACGGATAGTGAATGCTAGTAAAAATAGACTGAGAAGATTAGTGTGGAGCGATTATGAATTGTGTAAATCAACAGTAGTGTTGTAATTATTTGTAGTTACGACCTGCACATGGTTAATAAATACAATTACCAATCCAAACCCTGTCTTTAGTCACTGTGACACATGACAATATGTATGCTAGCCAAGTGTGATCCCAGTGGTCACCACCACTGATATGGGCATGAAGACTGAAAGTAGTAACATCTGTCATTATGATGATCACTGATCACCTAAAGATGGGAGTAAAGATAATTCCTGAAGTGTCATGTATACCACAGTTTCTGGCATAATATTGGTATAATAAAATTTGAGGTTTTCGCAGTGGTGAGGTCTCTTATTGTAATCTGAGTTATGACACTATGGTGCCATCTGATAGGTGGGAACCAATGTTAACACATTGCGGACCGGTGGTTTAACCTTTAAGAGCCGAGCGACACCATGTGGCGTCATTAAAATAAAGTCAAGGGGAGGAATGACGCCATATGTCGTCGCGCAGTCCACACGTGCGGCCGGCTTTTTAAAATCTAATTTTAAGTTATAAATTATTTTTCTACTTGCATGATTTTTGGTCACCAGCTTTATAAGTTGTCTCTCTTCCGACCTGCGTCGTCTAACGGAATGTTGGCTTTGTGTGGAAATCTTGGAAACATCCGGAAATGCAGAGTCCCACATCACACTTCACACACTTTATCCGGACAGTTCTTCGTTTCCCATGCGAAGAGCACACTCAACACCTCAATTTCGAAGTAGAGGAAGTCAGCCAGTGCTGTTGTTTGGCCTTCTCTGTTCGAAATGACCCCGATGAAACGGCAGGGGTTCGACCCCTGGGCCGTTGAGGGCGAGGGGGGCCCCTTCCAGCATGCTCCAGCATGTTCCGCACAAGGGCGAGACGAAATTCTCTGTGTGACAATTTCGCACCACAGGATGACAACAGGATATAACTGTTCAGACTCGTCAGATCCAGGAGATGGAAAAATAATTTATTTGTCCATTTCCAGGTTCGATGACAGATGCTATAACTGTTTGCCATTCTGTCCGCTTTGTCGACATAACCCATGTGCTTGTTGTAGTTAGCAACAATTGCTGGCTTGATGGCATTTCCGTGCTCATCACAGAAACTGCCTTCTGCTGGAGGAGAGT